CTTCATTAAAAAAATAAGTCAATGGAGGTTGGCACTGAAACCGGTGCCCACAGAGAATCACTCTTCCCTCGTAGACACTTTCTGCATTTGTTCAGGTAGGAATAGGTGACATATTGTTTTAAAAATGTTAGTCAAGACTGGCATTGGTGATGCATGCCTTTAATCCAAGCACTCTATGAGCAGAGGGAAGCAGATCTCTGTAAGTTCAAGGCCAGGCTCCAAAAAATGCAGAGAAACCCTGTCTGGAAAAACAAACAAAAAATGTATGTTAGTCAAAACAGTATTTATGATTGTTAGAGGCATTATCAATTCCTAAAGTGTATAATTATAAAAGGATCTCCCAGAAAACCAGCAGGTGGAGAGAGCACCAAGATTAAAAAAAATAATCAATTATGTCTGAACCTGGGCCTAATGTGTGTTGAGTGCCCCCTTTTGGCTATGGGATTCTGTCAGGGAGATTTTTCTCTGGGCTCACACTGAAGACTCCTCATTGTGTCCCTTGTACAGTAATAAGTGGCAGTGTCCTCAATTCTCAGGCTGTTCATTTGCAATGCTTTTTGAATCATCTCTGGAGATGGTGAATCTGTCTTTCACTGAATCCACGTAATAGGTTCCATAATTATAACTTTAGTGCCTATGGGAGCAACCCACTCCAGCCCCTTTCCTGGAGCCTAGCGGACCCAACTCATGGCAGCCTTACTGAAGGTGAATCCAGAAGCTGCACAGGAGAGTTTCAATGACCACTGAGGCTTCACTAATCCTCTACCAGACTCAAGCAACAGCACCTCACAGTGGACAGCTCCATCCCATGGTGAGGACCTGTGATCTCAGTGACTGTGGAGAGGACACTGATCATACGTTGTTGGTGGTGTGGACATCCCTGTATTTACATTCATAGACTCACGTGATTTGCATATTCATGAGCAGGGTAGTTCTTAGATAAGAACCCAGTCCAGCTGGAGAAGGAGGTAGAGGACACCTGGTTCATGCAGCAGAATGCTGAGGTCAAAATCGTCATTCTGTCTGAGGAAGTAGTGATTCCTGAGACCTGTGCAGATCCTATGGATATAACATCAAGGCCTAATCCCTCAATTTACAAATAGAATCCCAACCTGAGAAATTATTTCAATTCCCTGACAAAATCACAGGTGTTGGTAGCGATGAGGAAAATTGTTAATGGAAATTACAAAACCTCCTAAATTGGGAGAAATTTCACTCTTTAATCTGTAAGATATTAATGTTTTATTTTTCAGCATGTTACAGGGGTGTGTTACTGGTTAATTTTTTTCTTTATCTAAAGACTTTTCTTTTTGTATATTCTTTTGCTTTCAATACAAAAAGGCTTTAGGGTTCTGGTAGGAATATGGAAAATATCTGAGAGGATTGGGCATAGAATTTCATCAGAATATATTTCATGAAAAAAGTTTTACAAAAATCATAAATAAATATTTTTATAAACTGAGAATATACAAATCTATGCAATATTTACTAATGAATTTTTACTGTGTTGGAAAACTCTTGACTTCACATATCAACTGTATCAGGTGTTGTTGAGCTGATAGTCTTTAAGAAGGGAGTCCACAGGGGCTCTGGAGTCCCTCCAATCATCATCTGATTTCCATCCTAATGATTGATGTCTCCATGGTGCCCCCTGCTGTCCTTACAATTTTTATACTCTTATCATTCTGAGTTTAAAAATAATAAACTTGTCACAGACTTAGTCATGCTGTGGCCTCTCCATCCTGGCCTGTTTAAAACTCTGTTCTCACTGACCAGGAGACCCTGGCTGGTGCTTTTAAGGTTTGTATCAACTGGACTCATATAGTTGTTGTAGAATTATTTGCTCAAATAAAAGACGAAATAGGTCTTCTCACATTCATTAGATATTGCTCAAGAATGTATGTCTTTTATTCAGTATATCTAAGACATATTGAGTAAATAATCTACAGACTCCGGGTGTCAAGAGTCTGCCCAGTCTCCATGTTCACTATGGTCGCCCTATATCACTGGCTGCCATGTGGCCTGACCTCTCCCTGGTGTCAGGGAACAAACAGTGGATATCTTGGTTTTCACCTTCACACTGAACTGTTCAATGAGTTGTGATTATCTGGATCTCAGTAATCCTCCATTCTATAGTCTGTTTCTTCACCAAAACTTCTTAACACATGGCTGAGGTCACTATCATGGTATCCAGAGAAGGCTAAGGCCTGGAAAAGTAGACTTTCTTTTCCTTTTCCAGATTCTTCAAAACAGTAATCCTTAACCCTGAACCAACACCACCATCACTTCTCCCACTGATCTTCTCTAACTCACAGGTAAACACTCCAGCTTTCCTACCTTCAGCTGCATCAGAGATCACAGCAGTGAGCATGCTGGCAATGTATACAGGAAAACACTAGCAGAAAACTGTGATGAGGACCTCTGTGGCCAATGGAAGGGAGTTAGAGAGAGACTGTAGGTGACATCATCTGGCATGAGCCCAACAATTAATGTGGATTGCCAGTGGAGTCAGAACTAGTGGGAAAAACAGGCTGCTTATTAGGAAGTACTCAGACTACGGAGCCAGTCCTTTACCACAAGGCAGGAGAGGGAACAGAGAGCAGCATGCATGTGACCCTCATATTTAAAGCCTTGCTACATCACTCTGACCACGCCCAAGTGTGTGTGGTCAGCATCACCTGTGCCAGCCTTCAAGCTGGTGTGGCCAGCATTTCTCCCAATACCCAATGGTCACTCAGACATTTCCACAAGCTGAATGTACAAAACACACCTTCAAAGGCATCACTACATGGGACACTGAGTCAGAAAATAATCTTTACAAGGATGCAAATCTCAAACAATAATTGTATTAAAATAATAACCATGTGTGCCCTATTACAGACACTCACATGTTGGAAGCCTGAAATATAGACCACTTGTTGTTCCACCAACTGTGTAAAATAACATTAATCATGGAAGCTCTGGCTACTCCTCCACCTGTAATAAAATAAAGACAATGGGCCGGGTGTTGGTGACCCATGCCTTTAATCCCAGCACTTGGGAGGCAGAGGCAGGCAGATCTCTGTGAGTTTGAGGCCAGCTTGGTCTCCAGAGCCATTAAGGAAGCCTGAAGCATAGACCACTTGTTCCACCAACTGTGTAAAATAATATTAATCATGGAAGCTCTGGCAACTCTGCAACCTCTGAGAAAAAGAGAATGGTTTTCAGATGATTTAGAATTCCCTTAGATTTCCAATTGAGCTAATAACCATCACCAACTATTAGAATGACAGATTCATTGAAAGATATGGAAAGGTTTATTCTTATGTTTATTTCATCATATATAATGTGCCAAATGGATGCTTTAGATTCCCCATGGGTACAAACTGATACACTTATTAGAAACCAAACAAATAGTAGTTATATAATGAGAATGTGACATTGCTGAGGGCCTCTAAAGGATTGTTAGCGCAAGAAGGGGTAGCCACTTATTCCAACAGCAGTAAGCCTGTTTGTGTGAAACCACATGGGACAGTCCCCAACCTCCTATACTCCAAGGGATGTCTGCTAGTTCCCAGCAGCCTCAGTAGTACTTCATTGTCTCTACTGGTCTTGAGCACAGGGAGGATTGTGTCTGTGTTCACACTCAAATTTCCTTCATATGTCTTTGCAAAGTGAGACATAATAGGTGGTTCTGATTTTAACTATTGGCTCTTGGAGATATCCCTGTTAATATTGGTTTCAATGAGTAGCTGTGTTTCGAAAAATCAATATTATAATATCTGTAGATCTTGACTTGGCTGATTGGATGTCTATCCATTTCTTCATTCCTGCAAATCTCATATTTGTGTCTTGTTTATTTATTCCTGATTTTTGGGCTATGAGTATTTGAGATATAGTTTTTCATAGCAATGTTGAGGCAGCTGTCGACTACAGACTGTAAGGGCTCCAAGAAATGCATATGGTGCTTCTTTGTCTGTGATTCTATGAGAACTTCAGGCATATTGTCCAGACTATGCCTCCTCTTACTTGGAGAAAGTGAGTCAATGGGGGAAGTCTTAGAGGTTCTACAGGTTCATGGCATTGTCAGTGTGCCTCTCTGCTGCCTGCTTGTGGATCAAACCATAAGACATCAATGTCTGCTCCAGCCACTCAGCCTTTAGTTTGAAACCATGGACTAGATTATTGGAAACCATAATCCCAACTAAGTTCTTTCTTTCCTTACATGTTTCCTTCATCACAGTTGGTCTTGATGTTTTATCTCAGCTACAGAAAAGTTACTAAGACAAACTTTCTCATTTTTTTGCACAGTGAGAGGAACTTCTCAGAGAACACAGCTGGAATTTCTGTGCCTCTTAGAGAAATGATCTGGCTCTGTCACTGCTAATGTGACACCCCCAGACCCAAAGTGATCTCTGTTAGATTTTCATAAAATGCCCAATTGTGTGTGAGAGATTTTCTAGGTGAGTAGATCTCACTTCTCATGAACATTGTTATGTGACCAGATGCAGATGTTCAATGCTTCCTGGTGGTGTGATCCCATATTCAGGTCAATTAGAAGACAATAAACCATCCTTGAAATGCCATCTCCACACAGACACTGAACTAACATTCCTGAAGGACAAGTTCAAGAATCTCTTGATGAGCAGAGATGAAATTCATGGAAAATAAACTGAATTAGCTAAAAGCACAGCTGGATCAAGTCTGAACCAGATTTGCACCATTGTCAGGAGGAGTGGAGGGGAGGTTTGAGTCTTGGGAGCATTTGTGCACCTGTAATGGGCCCCTTCTTAACCTTGATTTCCCCTTAAATATAAATGCTACTCTAATAAAGAAATCTGACTGAGGATCTGCTTGAATCTGAGAAAAATAGACACAGGAGCATCCATGTTTCTTAAATAACAGCAGAAACACAGGAGATGTATAGAGGACAACAGTCACCCACATCACAAATATTTACAGAGACTTTCTTGGGAACTATAAAGATGAAAGGAGCCTAAGCTGCTGAGAAGATTGCTCAGTTATGCCTTTATAGTCTGTGGGATGAACCTGTGTTCTGTGTGTGCTGTGCGCCCCCTGGTGGCCGTGAGCGGCCTCACAGTGAGGTTTATGTCTGGGTTCACACTGAGATCACTCACCGTGTCTCTAGTACAGTAATAAGTGGCCGTGTCCTCAGACTTCACACTGTTCATTTGCAGGTACAGAGTGTTCTTGGCATTGTCTCTGGAGATGGTGAACCGGCCCTTCACAGATGGTGCATAATTTGTGGTACTGCCACCTCCATTAATCTTTCCAACCCACGCCAGCCCCTTGCCGGGATCCTAGCAGACCCAGTGCATCCAGCAGTCACTGAAGGTGAATCTAGAGGCTACACAGGAGAGTTTCAGGGACCCTCCATGCTTCACCAGGCCACCCCCAGACTCCACCAGCTGCACCTCACATTGAACACCTGCAAACATAAAAATTCCTGATCAAGAAATCATCACACATGTCCATTGTCCCTCAGATTAATGTCCACTCACACAGTCAGCATCTACTGCTCTCCATAAATTACCTTTTAAAAGAGCAACAAGGAAAATGCAGCTCAGCCCCAACTCCATGCTGATCCCTGAGTGAAGGCTTGGGATCTACAGCTGAGCTCCTCTGTCTGAGCTGTAAGGTCAGGACTGGGCTGCTTTTCATGAGCAGAGAGAGGGCCCATTTGCATGTCTTCCTGCTTTATAGCAAGCTCTGTCGTGGAGCCTGGAGATGGCAGATCCTGGGTTATTTGTTAATGTGCTGGAGGAATCAGATCATGATGTTAATGTTGGGGAAATTTTACTGAATTATATCATTTTCAAATCATCTCCTATTATCCCTTTTTCTATAAAGACTCATTTTCATGTTCATTTCAACTCAATTCTCCGCATCTGGGATTAAGAGAGCAGTGACATTGCTTTGCAGTGCTCATTTTTTATGAAGTCAGCACTACTGTGTGGACCTCATTCCTGGTGAACATAAAACTCCTTACATAGCTATATCTTTGTGAGCAGCTGCTTCCTGAGTTTGGAAAACCACTTTCTATATGGAGGTCATGTGACATGCCTGAATTCCAGTGTTCAGCTAATCACATGCATGAGCTTTTCCAGACAGTGTGTTTATTTCTGGATTTATCATCTAATTCCGTTTTCCTTTGCTGCACGTTTACCTATTTGTCTATAGATATCGGGAGTGACTGAGTTGCTGAACTTCAAGGAGAGCTGAGCTTTGACTTCTGTGTGTCTGCAGGTGGCCCTGTCAGAGGAGCAGCAGGGGGCAATTGAAGTTCAGGTGTCACCTCACCAGGAGATAAAGCCCAGATGGATGAATCTCTGATAGGCAAAACCTGGAGTCCACAGACTCCAGAACGTCTTTTGCTTCTGCTATTCCTTTTCATTTTTGCTGCTGCCATCTTTCTTTGGTATCTTGAATTGTGTCAATGTGTGTGGGGAGACCCCCATTGCCTGTAATATAGTGTGTTCTCATGTGGAAACATCCCATTCTACTGGACATACCTGCCTGTGCATTATTGTGAAGATAATTTCTTCTTAAGCCTGAATGTCTAATTGATAATAATAAACTTATTTTAAATATTCTTTTGATAATGGAAAATAAATACAAGGAAGTGTCACACAGCTAGGGCTTCTGAGTTTCAACTCCATGGCTACTTAGACTGTAGTTCAGGTTAATGAATGGGAAAACAATTGAGTCACTGGAAGCCAGGCTGTCTCAAATTCTTTCAATCTTAATGTTAACAGATGCATTCACAGGTTTTGGTGTGCTTCATAGCTGCAAACAAGCCTGAAAATAACTATCGGTTGGATTAGATGATTTGATAATGGCTTTGAGTTGAAATATACTGGAAAATAACTAAACATCACAAGGCTCATAGTTGAGTTATAAATTCATTAGGTTGGGGTCACAAATACAAAGCAGCCCAATTTTTATTAGCTGACATGTTTTTATGCTCAGGATTGGTTGATACTCAAAGATAATGACTAATACCTTGTACCAATTTCTTCCTTCAATCTCACTGATATAAAAAGTGATAATGCTGGTTTTAATATAAATTTGATTTCTCATTCTTTTAAGATTTCTTATAAGATTACCTTTCAAGATAAAGAATGAAATGATTGGTCCTTTCTTTGTAGCCACAAATTGCAGCCTGCCAGTTAAAGAACTGACTGAGAAGAATACCTTGCTTGCTTACACTGTTAATCTAAAACAGGTTGCTTGGATATGGTTGCACAGGGGTTGCATCGACAACTTTCTTTTCATCTGTAATATGTAAAATATTTAATCATGTAAAAGATATGGAAAATATGCTGCTCTATTTGCTTATATTGATTGCAATTATTCTCTTGAAAATTTGAATGTAACTATATTGTAGTTTTTATATTGTTTGGAAAATTTTGCTGGGGTTTAAAAGCTATGAGGGAATAATAAGGATCGGGAGGAGGAAACCATCAAGAGAAAAAGATGGGACATTTCTGGATAGAAATGACAGAATATAGAACACAGAAGAAAGAGTACAGGAAAAGCATAAAGAAGGAAACCATCAAGTGTTACGATAAATCTTTCTGCCAAAAGCCGCTGAGACCCACCGCCACATGTAAGCTTTATGCCAGCCTCCTGCCCAAGTTAGGCCCAAATGAATACATAGAAACTTGTATTAGGTACAAAGCTGTTTGGCCAATGACTAGGACGTCTCACCTGCTAACTCAGTCTTAACTATTATAAACCTATATATTTTATAAGACCTATCTTATCGGAAACCTTATTGGTGTCACTCCTTGCTGGGATCACATCTTGCTGCTACAGCAGGAGGGAAAAAAGGGGGTGCTTCCTGTTTCTCCTTTGCTTAAATATGAGT